AGCTATTAGTCTAAGACTTTTAAATAGTTTTATTAGTATAGATGCAGCTCTATTCTAAAGTTTTTAGAAGATTCTATTAAGTAGTTATTAAGATGCAGGGGTATGGTTTCTGTGTTTTTTGGTGGGATTTTAAGTGACCGGTTTGGTGATATGACCGGCTCGGTGATAGAGTACGTTAAGCCTTCTTGGATCGCTGAGGCGCTATAGATGCCTCAGCAGCTACCTGCGCTGCAGCAGTCCCATACTCCATAGTACCACCCTGCTGAATCCGCTTGCGCTTACGCGATTTTCGCTTGGTCATCTCTGCTAATTGCTCTTCAAGCTTATAGATCTGAGCACGTTAAAGCGCATTTTCATGCAGCATCAGCTCACCACCTTTTATAAGCTAGGAGAAACTAGCCTAAGCTATAACAGGCAAGCGAGTAAAGGAATCGCGTATAAGCTTTAATTAAGATCTAAACTTATAGGTATTGCTTAGAGTCTTTGACTGCTATAGCGTCTCTAGGAGGAGGGGTTCTAGCAGGGTATGTAGCTGCACTTTAAGGTAATCTAATACAACCTGCGCGTTAATTAGGACTAGCCCTGCTGCCTTAAAAGCCTTTTAATAGTTCTGCTCTATAAATATATTAAAAAATGCGTCCTTAAAGGCAGGGAGGAAGCCTTCTTTGTTAATATAGAAGACGCGTTGGCGTGCCAAGTCTCTAACACGCTGGGAGTACCTGCGCTTTAGCAGCGAGAAGCAGACCACATCAAGCAGCTGGAGGATGTGCAATGAATGGGGGGGCATACAGAGGGTTAGGATCTTGTGTTCAAGGCAGTAGTCCTTAAAATGCTAGTTAAGGTAGCTCTTATAGCCATCTAAAATAAGCAGCTAGTACCCCCCTACCTGGCGCGTCTTTATATGCGCGTTAAAGTGCTTTAACTACTCTAGACTAAGTGTGTTGTTTGTCTAGCTGTTCTTAGAGACTAAGAGCTTCTAATTACGCAGTATTGAAGCCTCCTTGTACTAGGCAGAGATGTGGACGCGTCCCTTGTAGATGATGAAGGGCAGGGTCGCGTACCTAGCAGCGCAGATGCTCTGGATAACTGTAACCTACTTGCGATCGCCTGGCTGAACAAGCGCAGGTTGGGCGCGTCTCTCTGCACCTGTGACGACCTTTATAGAGCTAATCACGCCTATCTAGAAGCTAGTCTTAGTAAAGTTGTGCACATTGTTATTATAGACGCTATACTTAGCTTTAGTCTCCTCTACTAGCTTAAACCACGCGCTAATTATCTCTAGATCCTCCTAGAGTATTCTCTGCCTATCCTTTGCTTAATTAAAGGCCATTTTAAGCTCAGGCAAGCGCGTTACAAAGCGATCAGCCTAGCACTTGCTAATAGGCTTGCCACCGCGTACAGCTAGCAGTTTATTAGCTATATCTGCCACCTCGCACAGCTGGGGCGCAAATCCTCGCAAGTCAAGGTCGAGTATGTATTGGATGATTATCTGCTGTTCAGTCACAGTGAGCTTCTGGCAGTTAGGGGCAGCTTCTGCGCAAAATGTGAGTCCTTAGACGCAACAAGAGAGTGTACGGCGATTAACATTAAATGCCTCTGCAGTAGCCTGGTGGCTTTAGAATTGTCTAGATTTCAAGGCTTCAATAGCAAGCTGAAGCCTCCCTTCATGTTTAAGTAATAACGCGTTTGGTAGTTGAGGCATGTTAGAGAGAGAGAGTAGGTAGAGGGCTTGGCAAGTTTTGGGACACTTGGTGATGTGGGACACTCGGTGATAGTTTAGGTTAGTGTGTTAGCACTGTAATCCTATAGCTTAGCACGTCGTATATGCCCTTCGGGAGGCAAGATAGTGGACTTCATCCCTATTATCTAGACGTAAAATGAATACCAACCAACCAACCCCACGGGCAAGTCGGACACACGGGCGAGTCGGACACACGGGCGAGTCGGACACTTTTGCCAAGACCCTACCAAAACACCCTTACTACACCAATGCCTCTCCACAAACGCCAGTCAGACGCGTTAAAAGAAGCTTAGATACAGCTTGCGCTTCAAGCTCTTAAACAAGACGCGACTCTCTCTCTACAGCGCGCTGCAGCTATCTATAGAGCTCCCCTACAGACACTAAGCGACTGACGCGCTAGACAACCTTCACAAGTTAATTCTATGCCTAAATTACAGAGCCTAACTAATACTAAGGAGCAGGTGATTGTTAATTATATACTTGAGCTAGACGCGCGAGGATTTTCCCCTCAGCTAGCAGCTGTAGCTGATATAGCCAATTCTTTGCGCGCTGAGCGCAGTCTAGGCCATGTTGGCCTAAACTGGCCTAGTACATTTGTTAAGCGCTAACTAGAGCTTAAAGAAAAGTTTAATTGCAAGTATGACTACAAGAGAGCCCTCTGCAAGGATCCTAAGATAATCTAGGGCTAGTTTAGCCTAGTAGCTAATATTAAAGCTAAGTATAGCATCTAGGATAACAACACGTACAACTTTAATAAGACAGGCTTTATAATAGGCTAGATATCTACTAGAGTAGTTGTTATAGCTTTAGAGAGACAAGGACAGCTAAAGCAGGTCTAGCTAGGCAATTAGGAGTAGATAATAGTTATTAAGGGCATTAATGCTAAAGGGTAGGCTATTCTGCCCTTTATTATCTTCTAGGGCTATAACTACCTCTTAAACTAGTATAAAGAGGATAATCTACCCTATAATTAGGTTATTAGGGTCTCTAAGAATAGCTAGACTACTAATAAACTTAGTCTTACCTAGTTAAAGCACTTTAACACGTATGCAAAGGAGTGTACTATTAGTAGCTACTATCTACTAGTTATTAATAGTTATAAGAGCTATAACTTACTAGATTTCTAGGAATACTAGAAGGATAACAAGATTATTACTATATATATGCCTCTGCACTTATTACATCTCCTACAGCTACTTAATATAGGCTGTTTTACCCCTCTAAAGAAGGTGTATAGGCGCTAAGCTAAAGACCTTATATACAACTAGATTAACTATATTATAAAGCTTAAGTTCCTACTATACTTTAAAGCAGCCTATAATGCTGTATTTACCTTAAGTAATATCTAAGGAGGGTTCTAAGGCGCTAGACTAGTCCCTTTTAACCTAGAATAGGTTATAATAGGGCTTAATGTGAAGCTGCGCACTCTATTACTATAACTCCCTAATAATAATAAGCCCTAGTAGTTGTAAACCCCTAGCAATACCCTAGAACTTTAGTCGCAATTAATTCTAATTTAAGAGAAGTATAAGAAGCAGCAGGATAGCTCACCTAATTCTGTGCTGACCGCGCTTGAGCACTACGCAAAGGGGGTAGCGATTCTATCGCACAAGCTAGTTTTAGCGCAATAGGGGAACGCTGAGCTTCACACAGCTCTAGCAGCTGCCACAGAACGTAAATCGCGCAAAAGAAAGCAAATCTAGAAGGAAGGGACCCTTACAGTTAAGGAAGGGTAGCAGATAGTAGCTCTAAAGGAGTTTAGGGCACGTAGTAATAGAAAGAAGTTAAAGAAGCAGGTGCGCGCTAAAGTAGGTAAGCCCTCCTAATAACACTGTAGATAGTGTAATTAGACTAGGCACAACGCGCAAATATGCAAGAATAATACAGAAGTAGACTCTAAATAATATTCTAAGCTGTACTGCACCTTGTAGCGCTAGAGTGTGGTGTTTTGGGCCATAATAGGGTGAGGTTTGGTAGGGTCTTGGCAAAAGTGTCCGACTCGCCCGTGTGTCCGACTCGCCCGTGTGTCCGACTCGCCCGTGGGGTACGTTAATAGTCCTTAAACTCCTAGTTAAGATAGCTCTTATAGCTGTCTAAGATAAGCAACCTGTACACTCCTACCTAACGCGTCTTTGTATGTGTGTTAAAGTGCTTTAACTACTTAAGGCTAAGTATATTGTTTTTCTAACTATTCTTAGAGACTAAGAGCTTCTAATTGTAGGGTATATCTGTCTCCTTATACTAGGCAGAGATATAGACGCGTCCTTTGTAGATAATGAAAGGTGGGGTTGCATACCTAGCAGCGCAGATGCTCT